TTAAAAACTTGATAAGATTGTCCACTTATGGTTGAGTTTGCTTGCAACCAAAGCATTCATACTTTTACCATATTTTCACCTTTCAAGATAGTATATGGTTTTAATTCGTTAACTTCGTTTGATGTAACACCTTTGTCTTAGCAAGAAATTACTAATATAGATGGACAACAGAGAGTTGAGATGATTAAATCCATATATGAAAAGGCCTGACAACATCTAAAACAGCAAAATAAATCCTATGCTCGTAATGCCAACAAAAGAAGGAAACAAATCGTACTCTAACTTATGATTACGTTGGGTTCAAATACATAAAGAAATATTTTCTAAACAAAGAAAGTCTAAACTAGATCTTTGAGGAGATGGGTCATTTTAAGTCTTGGAATATGTCAATGACAGTGCTTACAATATAGACTTGTTAGGTGAATGTGGCATGTTTGCTTATCTTTAATGTTGTTGATATTTCTCTTTTTTATGTAGGTGAAGATTCAAGGATGAATTATTTCAAAGAAAAGAGGGATGACGTGGTCCAAGGTAGCCGAAAAGAAGATTTCTTAGGCAACTAAGACCATTCCTGCGAGCAAGCATCAATGCGTGAGCATACCTATATGGAAGAATGCTATGAATGCACAAAAGACATGGAAAAAGACCGCACGACTGAGGATTCCCACTAGATAGGGCAATTTTCTCGCATAAATGAAGAGTCATTTTCTTGCAAGGACTCCCACGAGCTCAACTATGAAAGGAAGGTGGGTTTTACCCCAATCTTGAGTCCACATGTAGCCCATGGACAATTTTAGCTTATGCACTTCCAAGAAGATGGACTTGGATATCTTGAAAAGATATCCTGATTCCCATTGGCTCAATTATAAGATCAAGATCTAAGAAAATTCAACAAGCCTTCCAATTGTTAGTGCAAGAATGGATCAATGAATAAGGAGAGTTAGAGGTCCATAAAGATTCAAGAAAAGTCCCAAGAGTCCTTGGAAGGTTGCAGTAAGAGAGGCCAGAACATGTGAATATCCTTTTTCACATAGGTTGCTAAGAGGATAAGGGAGAAAAGAGTCCAACCCATATGAGATTCCTCAACCTATGAGGATTCCTTCCTCACTCGCTCCTCTCTTAGGATTTTTAAAGTTCTTGACTCCAACTTGGACTTGGTATGCGGCTAAAGAAGAAGAGACCAAGAATGCATCAGAATTGAATCCTAATTAAACTAGGATGTCCAGGAAAGACTCCTTGGAGGCTGAGATGCGAAGACTCCTAATCTAAGTCTTTTTCCTTCCTATTTTATTAAATAAGAATCCTAGAAGAAGAAGGGAAAATCCGAATAAGAAAATCCCCAAGTTTGGTCGAATATAACACAAACACTTTATAAAAATTAATTAATTAATTAATGAGAGTCCTAAGTTGATTGCCACATGAAGAATAAGTTCGGCTAGGACTCTTTAAGTCGTCCAAGAGAGAGGAGTTTATCTTTTATTTAGTTTTTGTCTTTTTAATTATTATTTTATTAGTTTCCTAGATTGAGTTGTATTTAGAATTACACTAGGAATTTATTTTGGAATTCAAGTAGGCTTGGATAGGTGAAAGCCTATAGATAAAGGCCTCACCATTAGGTTATTAATCATCACTTTTCAAATAATAAAAATTCAGGATTCATTGCTTTTAGCTATTGTTAATTATGAGTG